CCAAGAAGGAGATTGTAAGGATTTTTAATCAAACATGTAGGCTTATATGTGAAATATTGTGTAATAAATTAAAAACTATCAACTTTGATTAAGCATGTTTAAAGTGATCTAATAAGGTTTCGGTATTTTGGATTTTTAAGAATCTAATTAAAGTGTCGGCCTTTATGTGTAGAGATCAGGCATGTTCCTAATTTCATGATGGGTCGAATTAGGTTAATGGGCCGTTAGTATATATACTTGGTTATGGTCTCCGAATCATATGTTTTGGTTCATTCTATTCTGACTCTCATCTTCAGAGAGAAATAAAGGAACAACGTTTTGATCTGAAAGACTAAAAATCGCAGGACTTGTTCATTGTATTAATCATGTCTGATTCAGGTACGCTTCCTCTCCAGTTCACAAATTCTTGATGATCCAACATGAACGATCATTATGACGACGGTAAAGAATTTTCCCTACCTAATATTCAACTTGCAATTTACCATGTACTTTAAGGTTTCTTTTATATTTATTTGAAGGAATTGATTAACCATCAAGCAACAAATATTAATTTATTGTGTTCGATCTGAAACTTAAAATTACAGTGATAGCATCACTGTGTATTTCTACGAGCAACTAGTGCATCCACCTCTATGAAATTTGAAATTTTCCATTTGATAAAAATACAATTAATCAGATACTTTGGATCCATTAATAAACTAATTATTTTGATTTCATATTAATTATTTTGCTACCCAAAAAATAAAATCCTCCTAAAGACGGAAAGACCAATGCCACAAAATCCTCACCTATCCATTGAGACACTTGAGGAGATTGTACATGACATAAAACTATTTGTTGGAATTGGTTAAGCATAAATCATAGAAAAGTAATTTTTATGTCAACTTCGACCAAATATTCGGACTTGATTCGATAGTAAAATTATGAAAATAAATAGACTAACTTATGTACTTGTCGAGTAGATTATCGCGGTATATTTGGAATTTCCAAACCAATTTCGAGTGAATGAAAAATTACAGTCTAAAGTTGGAAGAATAGAGAGGAAATTGGCTGTAAATTTGTCCAATTCCGTCACTCGCCTAGCGCTCGAGCGACAGGCTAGCAAGCTAGCAACAGGCGAGCAACAGAGTCTCTGTTTCTGACGCTCAAATAACACAAGGTCAAGGGCTAGAGACAGCAAAAGTTGCAACATTTGGCAAATGTTGCTAAGTTTGGGGTACAGAACTTCACTCACAACATTTCCTCATCTATAAATTAGACCATTGGGACGTTCATTTGTTCATTCCAATGATATGCAATTATAGCATAACATTAAATTTTATGTTTTCATAGTCTAAATTTTGCATTAAAAGCTATTTTTTCCTTTTTCAATTAAGGAGTACAAAAATCAAAGTTTGATGTGTTGTTCTTGTGTTGTAAAGTGCTACTAACACAAGAAGATTATCGTTGTATCTTGTGAGTTGATTGCCATCATCCGTAGGCACCGTTGTGAGGCAAATTCAACTTAAGGATAAAGAGTTCAACTTTTGCATCGACTTTGCATAAATTTTCTTTTTTTGTTTTACATTACTTTGACATTCATTTTCATTTGGTATCCTTACTGTTACTCTATCAAAATTTTGGTAAGATTGATAAGTTGTTTTGGTTTAAAGTCATCACTCAAATTCATCATTTCAACACTATTTACATAAAATTTAAATTATTTTAATATTAATTTAATTGTTAATTTATTTAAATTGTTGTATTATAGTTTGTGGTTGTTTTAAAGCTCAACTATCGATTGGCCAGATTTGGAGCATGTTTTAAGGTCCATTTGGCAAGTTTTCTATTTCTTATAGAAAAGTTTTTTTTAAGAATGTTATTTATGTCAACTTTCTCTAAAAACATTTCTAGTCGGATAATACATTTTCAGAAAATTATTCAAATATGTTCAAAATCACCTTTTTAGTTGTAGAAACAGTTTTAAATTTTAGGGAAAAGAGGTTTTTAACCTGCAGAAAGAAAGAAGGCATAAAAGTAGAAAATAGCAAACAAATTTGAGTTGGTTGGGTGGTTTATGACTGCCGCCACCCTAATTGTGGCGGTGACTGCCGGTACATACACCGACCTCGGGTGGACGATTCCTCCTCTTGGAGGATATTGCTTACAGAACATGGGCAGCTAGGGAAGATTTAGAGATCAGAGACACTATAGGTAAACTTTTCACACTTGTATCAATGTGAGAGTAGACAAAATGAGATGATTAATGGGTCGCTGAACTTTATTTTGTTTTAAATTAGTCATAGAAATTAAAGTTTATTACAATTTAGTCACATAACTAAGGAAAAAGGTGACGTGGTCACTTATCAGCTTTTCAGGGTTAATTTCACTAATACTCATTGAACTTTGTACTTCATGTTACCTTGATCATCGATCTTTAATTTGTTTCACACTCATCGCTAAACTTTATACACTGATTCATTGAAATGGCTTATTTACTCGTCTTCCATTCTTTAATTAAACATTCTACACGTCCGCGTACCAACTTGTATGATTTGACTAAAATTCAGAGGGTTTTATGACTTGGAACACGGACAACTGGACGCTAGGATTTCCAAAAAAAAAAAAAGCGTAAACTAAATCTTGGTCTAAATGAAATATTTTACAAAGTTCAGTGATAACTTTGAAACTAATTAAAGTTCAATAGCCAACATGACACTAAGTGCAAAAAACTAACCTTAGTTAAAATTGAAGTTTTGCTAAAATCCCAATAATTACTAGTGTTTTAAACCCAGAAACAAATGAAGAAACAAGAATTAAATAAACCACAAAATGGTGAAAATCTTGAACCAAATACATTATGGTTTCAAGCTCTCCAAGCTACATGTTAATCCAATTCATTTTGCTAATTTGTTAGCGCTAAAGGCAAATCTTTTTCAAAAATTTTCTTGCTAATCTTTTTCCATTAATTTTGTTGCAGTATTCAACTGGAATGACACACATAATGTGGTCCAAGTAACCAAAGAAAACTATGATGCCTGCACTTCAACAAATGAATGCTCTTAGTCCAGTCCAAACAACCAGTTCCTCAAGCTTCATTGTCAATTCCTCCGAGTCGTACTTCATTTTCACCGTCGCCAACCACTGCAGCATGGGACAGAAGGCAACTATAAGCACCGGAGCTGATGCTCCAACTCTTAAAACTGGAGAGTTAATGGCGATTCTCCCCGTCCTTCTCTTCTCTTTGTTGAGTCTTATATAAATTGGTTTTTCCATGCAAAAATAAATTCTGTCAATCCTATTGTATTACACTGTTCGAATGACCTCAGAATATTTTTTGAGCTCAATCACATGTAATAAACTCGATCAAAATGGATCTAAATAAACACGTTGCACAAAGTAAATGGAAAGAGAAGAAAACGACACACACAAAAACATAAGGCAGAAACCACGAAGTAAATGGAAAGAGAAGAAAATGAAACACACAAAAACAACCCTTCCAAGATTGGGTAGATACCTTTACAATGCATGGCCGTCTTGCAAACTGGGATGCTGAAGTTAGTAGATTCATCTTCCTCGGATTTCCTAGAAGCCGGAGTTCTTCTGTATATTTATAAGTTAGTCACATAAAAAGATTGCAATATACAAGCATTGTGAATGAGAGGAGAACGAGGGAGAAAAATCCCTATGAGGTCCACCATAAACATGCACTCTATAACCATTGAGCAGAGAGAGAACATTTCTACGTCAAGGATCAATAAACACTGGATTACCTAAAGTAACAATGTCATTAACCAACAAAAGTAAATTAAGAAGATAAACGGTAGAAGTTCGTAGAATGCTGCAACTAGTTTATAGGGGAACGCACGATTAACAGCAAATGGAAATGTTTTTATTCAGAAGATACTGGTAGCCTTCTCCCTAGTTATAACAGTACAAGTTTCTACCCTCTTTGCTAGTTAACATTAAAGATTAGGTATAAGATCGCAAGATCTTGATAATATGACCAGTGGCAAAAATCAAGTCCATGGATTCTAAGAGCCTGTTTGGGATAGCTTCTGATTTTCGTAGAAGAGTTTTAGCAGGAAGCCACTTTCGACAAGCTTCCTCAAATAGCTCTTCTATTTTTCAGAAAATTATCCAAGCATGCTCAAAAGCACCTTCTTATTCTCAAAATTCATGCCAAACAGACCCTAACACCTCAATCCATCCCCTGCTAATAGAATAAAAGGAATGGATGGATAAATAGAAAACAAAAATTTCTCTAATGTCAACAGGTGTTCGTACTTGTTTATCCTTTTCAATACAGCAATACGGGATTTGTAGGTTTTCAGACAAAAAATTTCTCGCTCTTGTCGTTAAATGCACATCATTACAGATTTACACAATCCAAATCAGCTATGCACTCATCATCTACATAAACCTCACAATTCAATAATCTGAAAAGTTTTACTTAAAGAAAAATGATAACTTACAGAAATTATTAGAATCCAGAAAAGAGAGACCATTTATTATGAAAAGAAAAAAACAAAATATTTCTGAAGTATGCAACATGCATGGTCCAGAATAGATTCCCGCAATGGTCAGACAAACATTAAATTTATCATGTCGGCAATAAATATAATTATTGGAAAGAGCGAAGTTTTACCTCCATTCCAGGATGGTTGTAAGCCATTCTGGAATGGAAGTGAGACAAGTTTTTACTTTCCATTCCAGCAATAAATCGCTTTATTAGAGTATGTTATGCACTATTCAGTGTTTCGTGCTACATGGACACTCATTAAAGAAGTGATTGAAGACTACAGCGACTTAGAGTGTTAACCGAATAAAAATCTTATCCAGTTGTAGAGGTAAATAGCAGATTAATTTTGATATAAAAACCACATGATCAATAAGAATAAGATATCAGAATTGCCAACACGAGGTCAGAACATTTCATGCACTATTTTCGTCACGCAAACACCAGTTGAATATGCACAGAAAGGGCAACAAGAGTACGACAAGTACCACTCCGAAATAATGCCACCAGAAATGAGTTTGATGCATATCTAGAAAAGATATTCAACCTCAATCAATCACAATATGCAAAAGAAGCAAATAAATAAAGATTCGCGCAGAATATTTATTCAGCAATTTCTTTCACAGTGTTACCTACATTTCAAAACAGGTACTTTTAAGATGACTGACTATCTAGAAACAAGTGAATGCAAGTGTAGTTTTATTTGTTCATTGCAATTGTGCACCAAACAATTCTTGGACTCACATTCTCGTTAATTAATTTATCACATTGTTTTCCCGAGTGATTACAGTTATACCCGCTAAATGAAGGATTCAACCGTAAGAATATCCGACATCTTGTTACATCAATTGGCACGTACATCTGAAAAAAGTCCTTGTAGGATAATCACTGTTCTCCCTTCCACACTATCACCATTCTATAAATTGCTCAAAAAGAACACAACGGAGAACAAGATCTTGTAATAAAAACAATTTTAATCATAGCATCTTTGCACCTTCAATTTTGTATCATTATCCTATCTTCAAAAACCTAGTTAAATCTAGTTATCCATGGACTTTTGGTAATAGCAAGTTCAGTCACAGCAACATGAAATGCTTCCAAATAAACAGAAGCTAATAGAATAAAAATAAAAAATTGAATAGGTTCCAAGACATATATATAGAGGCATCTGAAAAAAATTTCCCCATTTTTTGAAAATGAAATATTATGTCATACAACAAAGAAGCATTGTCTACATACCTGGTCTTTTCATTTGACCAGCAAAACAGTTAGAAGTTTGGTCCTCAGACAAGAAAAATTGCTCATTGTCCTTATTGGCAATAAGCGAAATTTCACGCATTCTAGCAACATCTTTCACATTTTGACCTTCCCCCTCTGAATTCCATCTACTTGAATGCAACCTGGAGAGATCGTTACTGGACTCCAAAGGAAAGAAAGGAAACTCCTTGTCTCTAGGCTTGTCTCCATCTTGAGACACTCTCCGACCACTATGAGTTCCATAATCAGAACCCTTTCCTGTGCTCAAGCTTGACTCAGAAAACAAACCCAACCTCAAGGACAGGTCACACCCCATCTGAGGTTCCATCCAATTGTAGTCCCTAGAATTTGCTTGGGAGCTTCCATTTGTAACATATTTGTCTGCATCACAGGAAAACAGATTCTGCAAGTGCCCAACTTCAGCAGGCTCGGCAACAGATGAATATATTGGCATACCAACAATTACGGGATTGGATTTGTGAGGTTCTAGGAAGACAGGACTTGAGACTTCAGGTTGAAACATGGTCCCATAGTACAAGGGATACACTGAGCCAAAATTCGATAGTGTGTTAGAGTCAGCTGGCGGGATCTGGTTATTGGCGGGAGACGGGAGTTTCTCACTTGATAGAGCAATGGGATTGTTGATATTTGGTGTTACACATCCACCAGACTCCAAAACTAAACCGGGTGATTCTGCAGTTGAGAATTTCTTCAATGGTGAAATATTGGCAGAATGCAAAGGCCATATATTAGATGGCCGTTCACTGGAATTATCATCTAAAACTTTAGGAGATACATCACAGGATTCTTGAACCGTTGGTCTGAGGTATGATCTTGGATTGTTTTGCATTTGGCTTCTAGATGCTCTAACCGCCACGCACCCCAAATTAAGTGCAGCTGAACACCAGAATCCATATCATAAGTGCATATTACAATATCATCTCAAACGAATGCAACAGAACATTCCTTTTAAGTAACAAAACTAAGAATGAATAAACCACATTGAACCAAACCAATTTTCAATTAATTAAAATCAACAAAGGTGCAGTGGAAGAACTATAGGCAATGTGGATACCTTCAACGCAAGGAGGCAGAAGCTCCCCCGTTTCTGTACTCTCATCTTTCCTTATAATTGTATCGATTGCATCGTTAGCCCGGTCCCAGAGAGTCTCAAGATCCGTATATTCAGCCTGCCCAATGAAGGATGGCAAAACAGAAACACATATAAAATCACAACACCAACACATTGATCAAAAAATGTCAAGAAATTAAACCCAACCCAACCCACATCAAAACAAAGACAAAAATTAAAAACCTCAGAATTAGCTTTGGAGTACATGATTTCCTCAGCTTTCAACACAACAACAGGAAGCTTTTCTTGCCATTCTTTATTCTTCTTAGTTGCAGGGCAGTGATTCTCGTGCACAAGCCTAGTCAAATAGTGAACATTTAACAAATTTCACCTAAAACAAGAAAATAAATTCAAGAAACATAAAACCCCGTACCTGAAAATCTGTCTAATAATTAAACCTCTCATGGGTTGGTGCCTATGACTGTGCCAAGCTCTTCTCACACACTCATATGGTCTGGGACCTGGCCTTGGCATCTTCCTTCACCTCTTCAAAAAAACTCCACACTGTGTGTGCCCAATTATATAAAGAAAATGAAATCAGCTTTACACAGAAAGCAATTTCTCTACAATAGATTGGGTCAAAATTAAGAACTTTAGGTAACTTCCATTCCTTTCAAGTTTCATCGAAACCCCTAAATTGTACTTTTTCCCCGTTAGGAGTTAGGCAGAGAAGGATGATACTGTGCCTTTTTTTATCTGTTGGAATTTGGGTACAATAATAATGTCCGAGTCGTGGGTGTGTTTTAGCACTAGAGGCAAAGGGGTGGGTGCGGGAGTGGGTGGTTGGGTGTGTGTGTGAGAGAGATGCTGAGTGCGTGATGTGACACACCTCCAAGAATTAATAAACCCCACCCTTACAAATCATCCACGTTTGATTAAAATCAATTTTTTATTAGAGTTTAATAAAAAATAATGAAATATATAATTGAAAAATAGTTATTCTACGTGTACATAATATTTTATATAATAATTTACATATAAATAAGGTGTCAAAAAGAAAGTGATGAATTTATTTTTTATTTGGTTGAAGAAATTTTGACATAATCATATCTCACCACAACATAATATAAACAATTATATAACTTCATTATGTATAAGTAATATTATTCGTTGAAAAATTGTGGATTTGATAAAACGTGTGGTTAAAATTAATTATGATTTAAATTTTAATCAATTTTTTAGTGGTACCAAATGTATAAAATTGCATTTTCTTGGCCCCCACTACATGCTTAGAAAACTTAATTACAAACTTATTAGTAGGTGAGGACGATGTTAAACCCTACCTTGAATATTATAAATAAGTGTGTGGACATCGTGTTAAATTTACTTACAGTCGATATAATTAATTTTAATCACACGCTTAATGAAATCTACAGATTTTTAATTACAATTTTTATCAAAATTTACTAAAAAAAATAATTTTTACTACACCAAACACAGGGGCTCTATTTATAATTAGTAGACCTAAAAATTCTTAT